GGTCCGGGTGTGGTTTCTCGGACGGTCCTACGATTCCTCGTGGTGTTGTGCACTGACCTAGACGAAACGCAGTTGGTCGCCGCCGGCAGTCCGTTGGACAAGTAAGATACACACACGCATGTGGCGGCAAGCGTGCTGGCAGCTCGAATAGATCCTACCCTTTGATTCGTTATGGTGAACAGACAGGAGCGAGATGCTGCACCTGGACTTTGAGCAATCAAGCCTCTCTCCACCGTGTATAACTCCAGGGCTTCGACGCCACTCGGCCTGTTCGCTTCAACTGCTTTCTCTTGTCTTGTCTCCTTTGCATAGGGACGTGCAAGTGAATCTTGATCCGTCGGCTCGTTACCCCACACTTGTCGTAGGGATGGTGCCATCTGAAGACGTGCTTCTATCCCAAGCAGTAGGGTTGGCAGGGAATACCAGCTACGGACAGACGTTTGAACAACGGCGGGGTTCATAGTAACGCTGCTGAGCCGATATTCTTTGTAAGGCCGCAATGACGGCGATATTTTTCTGTAAGTCCGCAGTGACGGAATGATCCAGTGTTTTCTTGTTTTTTGTTTTCCTTTTTTTTCCTCGTTCAAAATGGTTGACAACTTGGGGGAGACCCGATTTGAGGCCAGGATGCGACACAAGCAGGCCCAATAGCTTAGGTACGACCAGGGGTGCCGGGGAGGGGTCCGGCAGACAGGCGAGAGAGAAAGAGAGAAGAGGCCTTGAGGAGAGAGGGGGGTGATCGTAGAGGGAAATCGATATGGAGGGCGTCGGTTTAGATGACCGGGGGTCGGTCAAGTATACTGTGTCGATGAGCCGTACCGAGAGCTTTCTGACACATGGCGAAGGATTTACGCATCCGCCAATAGAATCGCGTCAGCTTCGCTTCACCTGGCGTCCTTTCCAGTCTGTCATGTGGACCAGAAGCCGCGTTAGCGCCAATCGCCAGCTACGAAGGTAATAAGCGCGTCGCTGCGATAGGCCCAAGCCTCCCCTCCCAATTTTTGAAGCATCCAACACCCACCTTAAGCGCAGCGCTTAATCAGCCCATCACCGCCATCGCAGCCAGCCAAAAGTAAACACGACTCCTCGGATGCTCAAGCAATCACTGCACGGTCATATTGGAAGACAGACGACGCGAAGCAGACACGACGGGTGTGTTCCTCCTCCCGTATTGAATCGTCGCTTCGTCGTCGCCACCGTCGAGTCTCCGCGATGGGACAGGTCTTGAATCCTTCTGCCTGAGCACATCCAAATGTGGACATCGCGCAACCATGGTCACCGCAATGAACGCGCCCTCCAGGTGGAGCGGCAAACGGCAGAACGTCTTTAAGTCTGTTTTTAATACGGAAGTATCGCAGCCCACTCCATGCTCGACACCATCACAGAAGTTCACCTCACAAGGTGATCTATTGGGCGGTCTACCGCCACCGCCGCCGTCATCACACCATCAATCACCTTCGCGCACGCACTTCCCCAGCAACATCAAAGTTTCGGATCTTCAGCAGAGCTCGCCCCCGCCAACTCATTCGCATCCGCCTTCTCCCGACCAGTCCAACGACCAGGTTAGGTGGGATCGAGCATGGCACGTGGTGACAACTCGTATCCAGCTGCCGCCATCGGTGGCTGCTGAGGACTCGTTTGGCGCCCTGGCATCTGAGTCTCAGGACTACGATGCGGACTTCTACGACAGTCTTAACCTGGTGCTCCATCCATGGAAGCACGTTCAGCACGCTACCGTCACCGAAGACATCCTCTCCTGGCATACCCAGCAGGTTCGCCACCACTTTGCTCAACACGTCCTCCCCCTGCTGTCCGCATGCAATACCTACGGTGACCAGGCTCAGGTACTCCTTGGGAGTATACGTACGCTGGAAGCAGCTCACCGCCAGTATCTCTACGGGCTATCCCTCATTGTGCGGGGCCTCGACAACAAGCATGCAGACATTGCCGTTGACAAGTTCCGGCGTGATCTGCACGCAGTCATTGGCAATTCCATGTCACAGGCGCTCATGGAATCCCTTCGAGCCGTCTTTGGTCGCTTAACGAGGGTCATTCTGGGCATGCAGGCCGCACCCTCCCCCGGGGCATCTCGGGGAACCGGCTTGCAAGGGGACAATCAGGCAGCAGCACCATCCCCAACGCCGGCAGCGGCAGCGCGTCAAGAGCTCTTGCAGTTGATCGAGGCGCTGCACAAAGTAGGCCTTGCCGGGGAGAGATTTCAGATACTATTCGCCGAGTTGATGGACTCGGTGATGATTGAGCATGTGAAAACATCATTCGCCGGCGTCTGGACGCAGCCAAAAGCAGGTGGCGGGAAGGATGCTTCAGGCCCCCCGTCGGTTTCTCGTGCGGCGAAGCTTGGCACACCTTCACGCTGCATCGCAGCACTATGCGATTGGGTCGAGAATCACTACTCGCGGCTAGCAGTCGAGGTTTTTGCTCGCCTCGGTAGCGGGGATGTTGCTTGGGCCGACGTCGAAAAATGGAAGGAGATCGCAGTCGGACGCTTGGCTGTCATGCGCATTCATGAGCTTTTCGACATTGTCCTGCAGTGGCCCGAGAGCAAAGGAGCTCTAGACGACCTCCGCATGGCCATCACCACACCTCAGCGACGCTTGCAACTGACGGACACGTTCTCGGCGGCCCTTCAAAAACGTCTGCTACACCCAGGGAGATCGACGCTCGATATACTCCGCGTATATATCTCCATGATTCGAACGTTCCATGCTCTAGACAATTCCAAAGTGCTCCTGGACCGTGTGGTACACTCGCTCCAGCTCTACTTGTGCCAGAGAGACGATGCCATCCCCATCGTTGTTACGGGGCTCCTGTCCAATCCAGACGACATCCGCACCGAAGGGGGTAAAACAAAGCTCGTTGAGCTAGCCGTTCTGCTCAATGATCCCTCACAGCAAAGGCGTCCTGCTATGGACGAAGAAGAGCTGGACTGGGATGATATGGAATGGATCCCCGATCCTGTGGACGCCGGTGTGAACTACAAACGTCCCAAGTCGGAAGACGTCATTGGAACACTGATCAATGCTCTGGGTTCGCAGGATATCTTTATCAAAGAGTTCCAGAACATCATTGCAGATAGGTTGTTGTCCACCCAGGTCGAGTTCACCCAAGAGATCCGGGTGCTCCATTTGCTCAAGAAGCGGTTCGGAGATAACGCCTTGCAGAACTGCGATGTCATGATTAAAGACATCCAAGACTCAAAGAGGGTCGATTCGATCATCTCCAAGACGGTGAGGGCAGGCCACATCGGGGGACCTGTCCGGAAATCCAAGGAGCTTCCGTCGTACCATACGAAGATCCTTTCTCGGCTCTTCTGGCCAACGATGGACCGGGAGCACTTCATTCTTCCACGGCCCGTCGCCGAGGTGCAAGGGTACTACGATAGCGAATTCGAACGTCTGAAGTCTTCTCGCAAGCTAACATGGCTCAATAACCTCGGAAATGCCACAGTCAACCTCGAGCTGGAAGACAGGACCGTGGAGCGGGAGTGCAAGACGTACGAAGCCGTCGTTATCTACGCTTTCCAGGCAGACGAAACCTACAAAGGACCGCTCCCTCTGCGCCGCACCGTCGACCAGCTTGAAGAGGTTCTCCAGATGGATGACGATCTTATACGGTCCGCCATCTCCTTCTGGGTTAGTCAGCGTGTCCTTCGTGAGATGGAGCCCGGCACCTTCGCCGTCCTCGAGAAGCTGAACGACGATGCCAATGGCGGAGCCAACCCCGCTGTACCTGGTCCGGACGAAGCCCCCGCCACGGAGTCGGGTGATGTCTCACCCAAGAAGCCCAGCGCGCTTGATGCCAAGGAGCAGGAACGGCGACAGGTCTACTGGCAGTTCATTGTCGGTATGCTCACGAACTCGAGCCCGGCTATGCCGCTGGGCCAGATTGCCATGATGATGAAGATGCTGATCGCGCATGGGTTCCCGTGGAGCAACGAGGAGTTGCAGGAGTTCCTCGCGGAGAAGATGGCAGAGGAGGAGTTGGAATTGGTAGGCGGCAAATACCGCCTACTCAAAAAATGAGCGGAAGAGCTTGTGCTGTCCCTTCCCCGTCCGAGATGGGACCACGGCGGACGATGTTGGTTTAAGGGGCCCGGGGAACGATCAAAAACATGGCAGAACTGCTAACTAGCCAAAGCCTAGAACCGACCACGGCACCCCCGCTTGTATGGCGGGGGGGGGGATTGCCATGCCCAATACAAATTAGATACCCACCGTTTCCCAAGTCTTGTTCGAGTTGCCGTGATGAAGCGAACGCGAGGCCCGAAACGCCGCACCAGTTTGAGCGGGAGCAATCCACTTCCTGTCTTACTTTCCTCCGGCCGAGGGGCAAGCAATGCGGCGCACGATTCTGACAACCCCCAGGACCGCAATATCGGCCGTATCCAGTTGTCTTCTTGGCCACGTGGGACGCATGGTCTTCCGCATCCCGATCGCGAGCCAATGTATGCACACTGGCATCGCCGTGAGCGTTGTCTTGCCCGGTCGGCGACGACTCAGCCATAGAACCCCACGACGACACTATTCGGTCCGGTCGGGCGCGTCTTGTGTCGGTGATCCAGAGGGCGGACAAGAGGCTCTCGGAGTCCCCATCTGGATGAAAGATGGCAAAGTCTCTACATCCTGGTATTGAGTTTTTCTCTTTCTTCCTTTCTTTCTTTTTTCCCTTTTTGTATCTATTAGGCCAATGCTTCCAGCCTGCTTTGATTTCTTGCTTCCTCCATCAAGTATCTCTTGCACTTACCCGCCGTGTCCGCCCGTACTTTAGCTGTCAACATGAGAAAGCAGGTCAAGAGCACGGGTCGCCAGTAATGAACGGGGGGTGGCATTAATGAATGCGGCTGCCCTCGTCCTCTAGTCTCGACAAGACACTTCACCTATACCGGCCGTGTCCCGGAGCGCCGTCAATCTCCTGAAACAACCGGCCTCACCCGGTTTGGTCGTGTCCGGCAGCAGGAGCCTCTCCGACCCAAGCCAGCCATCGGGGGGCCGGTCCTGCCGATCCGACAGGTAGCAAGACACGCCAGGCACGGCGTTCTGTCCCCGTTTCTGTTTGTCGGCTATGGCCGGTAGCAAGACCGAGAGAGGCCTTCGACTCCTCAAGATACCTGCTCGGGCACGATCGGCTTCGGCGTCTGCCGCCCGAGCTCGGCACCACCCACGCCCCACGTCGGCACACGCGAGCGACGTCGCATCCGACTCTCACGAGGTGAGGGGAGGAGGACCCGCGAAGTCGCTGTGAACACACGCTCCCGCGCCTCGTTCGCGCTCAGCAACGCGGGACGAGGTCCCCGCTCCCCCTTCACGATATCAACTCCAAGGCCCAGCTCCAGGGCCTTGCTCCAACGAGAGAGTCGAACACAGATCCGGGTCTTGGCCACTGGCCTGGGAGACGCCGCACGCCGTCCCCTCCCGCCGGCCGTGTTGTCGAACCGCAAGCCGAGTCTGTGTGGCCATGTCGATGATTTGCCCTCGCCGACGGGCGTGTCTTGTTCCGCGCCGACGTCGTACCCTTCCCATATGCAAGATGCGGCGGTGCGATGTAAAGTCACCTTTTGTCAAGGGCCCTCGGCGGTTCCTCCTCTTTCTAGTGCTGGACTGCCCCCGCTGCGCGAGGTCGTGTGATCGAGGCAGTTGCCAGAGACTACATCATGCCAGCGCTGGGCGAGGCGACCGCGAAACGTCAATAGCGAGAGAGCACCCAGAGGTACAACCGAGTAGCCTGGGACAGGTCGTGACTAAACCAGAACCAACGCGAAATGAACCCCGTCGGTTCTTCAAACATCACCCGCTAGGTATGGTTGGAATAAGTTGGAATAGCAGGAATAGCAGCGTTCCTCGTCGGTCCCGTCACTTCTCCCGATCCGTGGGTGCGGTACGACAGCCCGGTCAGGGCCATGGGCCCCAAACATCACAAAGTGAGAGCATACGACCGTCTTCGTCAGAACGTGTTATTCTTACCGCATATCAAAGTGATGGAGCGAAGGGAAGAGCAGTCTTTTTTTTTTCTTTTTTTTTTCTTTTCTTCTTCACAAAAGAAACACATACATGGCAATGTGACTGCGACCGTGAGCTCGTCTCGCACCCTCGGCCAACTTTAAGTCTCTCGGGTCGACGCATACCAGGATGCGTCAGTCGTCGGTCAGGATGGGTGGGGAATCAAGAGGTTGCAGCAGCAGCAGCAGCATGTAGGCGACCGCTTTGCCGTCCTCATAAGACCAGGATGCGGTAAAAGTTAAGCAACAATACGGACGACGTGAAGGGCGGGCAGAGCGTCATCGGCCGGGGTTCTCTAGCCGGGGGCATTCTTACTCTTGGCACAGCCAAGCGTTATTTGGACATGGTTCCGAGTCAGCCGCCGTCGTCGTTGCTGCCGTGGTAGTCGTCGTCGTCGTCGTTGTCGTCGTCGGACCTGGCATCGGAGCCAAGAGAAATGCTAACATCGATCCCTAATTAGCCGATAGCGTAAACCCCGTGAAGCTTTGCTTGTTCGCATCCGTGTATGCACAGCATTAGTAACGCACGGGTGGGTGTTTTGAGCAGGACAGACCAGTCGCTGCCAGGATGTCGCAACCAACGATGGGGATTGCGTTTGTCGGTGTCTGCAAGTCGGCGTGCAAAAGAAAAACACAACAACCAACATGGGCAACTGGACCTTGACCCAGCTCGGCGGCAAGAGTAGGAGCCAACAAGACGCCCATTTCGGGCGCCTAGAGGGGGTGGGCAATACACGGGTATAACAACCAGAGCAAGGCCGGGGCAACGATGCTTTCGTTTGCAAGGTTCTCTCGAGTTGTCGAACAATGGGGCCGGCTTGCCGCATTTGTCGTGTAAGCCCGTCGTCGGTGGTAAGGGTAGCAGTCGCGGAGAAAACAGTTGGTCGTCGGTATGATTAACAACCTTGACATGTGTCGCGTGGCCCAGCATTGTATGAAAGGGGTGGTGGTTGTAAAGCCATGTATGGGTTGCTGGCCTCGGAGGTTGTGCGAGCGATGTTCGTGGAGGGCCACCGAACAGGGGCCAAGGGCCGGGAAGAAAAGGCGGTGATGGTGCATCTTATAAGGAATGTTGCGCCACGTTTACACACTCTCTCAATGGCCTCAAAAGAGTGAGCGGAACCGACCGCCGACAGGCAACACAAGGCGCAAGCTTGTGCCATTTTGTTCGCGGCCAACGGCTCTCCCACCTTGATCAAGGGCGGACTCTGTTGCGAGGGAGCATGTGAGCTGAGTCGGCGTCGAAAACTTTACGAGCCCCGCGGGGTCTTGATTTTCTCTTACTCCCCCCCCCCCCTTCTTTTCTCTGTTTGAGGCTCTCGGACGGGGAGTCAAAGTCGGCATGGGCCCGGAAAGGCAGCTCGACCCGACGACGGACGGTGTGCATGGACGATGGACGACGGGAAAGTCGGAACTGATAAATAGAGGGCGGCTGTTTGGGGAGGGGGGGGGCAAAGAAAGCCAGCCATGCTAACTAACAGTGCTCGGCTGCCTTCATCACTCATACCGACTGACTTTACCTTGCGGTTGAAACCGAGAGACTGAAGTTGTTTCAACTGCGTGGCGACAATCCCAGCCCGACCGGGTTCGAACCGGTCCCCCATAACTGGAGCTTGACCATGCCGTTTCGTGCAGCAAACCATTGCCGATGGAAAAGTTTGCTGGTCATGAGTACACGCGAGAGAGAGAGACAGTGAGAGAGACTTCCGAAGGGGTGTGTGTGTGTGTGTGTGAGTGCGTGTGTCTTCCACCAGCGTGGACAATAGCGCAGCGAGATAGACAAGGATTGGCACGCCTGGCGGCCGACGGCGTTCCTGACTCGACTCAAGCAGTGCCATGGTGTGAAGTGATGCATCCCTGGAGACATGGCGGAGCCCTGCACAGAAAGTAAGATGAGACGAACGTCTCAAGCAAAGATAAGGGCGCTTGACGGTGCGCAGTACTACGTACGCACACGAGGTAGATAGATGAGTAGGTAAGTCGGCGTACAAGTGAAGTGAGAAGAAAAGGTTCGAATGGTCAGGCGACGAGCCCCGAGTGGCAAGGAGGTGGGAAGAAGAGGCAGAGAGAGGTCGGCGAGTGAGAGACAAAGCAGCGGGCAAGAATGGTAGCTACTAACTACTACGGGTAGCGTCGAGCTTGGCCGGTGTGCGCCCACGCACCCCATAGTATGTCCCTATCTTAGCGCGAACCAGGGCTCGAGAGATCGTCGCGGGGATGTCGCTGCATCGAAAAGCGAATGGGAGACGAGTCTGGCGACCAAAAAGGCTTCGAGCCAATCGATAACCGACCGTCCTCTCCTTGGAGGAGCTGGGCCGCCGTCTCGAAGCAGGGGCACGGCCGGGGGGTCCCTTTCCAGCGCGAAGCCGCGGGGTCCCTGTCCCCTCCTTTCCCTCGTGTCTGACAATCCGCTTCTTCGGAGGGGGAGGGGGGGGGGGGGAGAAGAGCTGGAACCAGTGATGACGTATGGTTCCGGCTGGGATGCTGGTGTTATAGTTCGGGAAATGCTACATGTACGGGGTTCGAATAGTGAGCATACACTACCGGTACTACCTATGCTATAACACAGTCTGGGCAGGATGGGGGTGCTCGAGTCGGGCGTCCACGGGCGGTGAGAGGAGAGGAGAGGCCGTGATGTGGTGGTGGTGGTAGCTCGCTGATTGTGATGGCTGATGGCTGATGGCTGCTGATGCGGGCGAGGCAGCATGGCCGGAGGCGGGTACGTCTCCGATGTGGTGGCAGCGGCTGGTTGTCAAAGCGCGAGCCGGCGGGCCTCTAGCTTGGGCGGCCCGGCCTAGCCGCTGAGACAGACGAACCCCGCGGGCTTCCACCGTTCTCGCTTTGCCCACGACTTGTTGAAGGTCTTCTTTGAGGGGCGCGCGAAGAGGAGGAGGAGGAGGAGGAGGAGGAGGAGGAGGAGGAGGAGGAGGATGGGATCCAAGACGGCGGTGCACCGGACTGTCCAGGCCGGATGAGATTTGGCGATTGCCGTGACGCTGAGTTGGCGGCGGCCCCGTTGACTTGGAGACGGAGGCAGACGCGGAACTACCGGGAACGAGGTCGAGTATTGGTGCTGCTACTGCTGCTGCTGCTGCTGTTGTTGTTATTGCCACTCTTATTTGTTGGTTATTACTTTGATCGGTCAGCTGCGAGGTGCATTGTCAAGAGGCGGTGCGAGAGTTGCATAAGCTCCGATGGCCACAAGCATTGAGACGGACGGGATTCGGTTGGGGGTTGGCGAAAGGTAGGACGGCGGCAGGGTTCCGGACCGGATGTAAGTCCAGGGTCTCTCCTTCTATCGCTCATATTGAAGCAATCCGTTGGTCGAGGAGCGGGGGAGAAGAGACAGAGAGGAAGAGATGAGACTCCCGCGTCTACAAAATCTATGGCACGGATACTATGCATATTAGTATACCTACTGTATCCATGTACAGATACGGCACCCTTGGTCCAAGGGCGCGGCACGGCAGGGCAAGGCGACGACGACGACGACGACGACGACGGCTGGCCAAGAAGCTCCGATGCAGCCGTGTCTGTCTGTCTGTTATTGGATGCAGGGCTTGCCGTGCAGACAAGGGTACATGGAGGTGTTAAGACGCTCGCCATGTACAACGTGCCGAAAACGTGCTGGCTGGTATTACTGCGAAGGGCTCGTACATACAGGTACAAACCAACTGGAGGATCAGAGAGAGTTCTGGAGGTCCCGTTCCGTGAACTAACACCTGACAAGCGGCCTGACAATGGCAAATGCCTGCCTCGGTTGTGTGTGCTGGTGCTGTGCTGTGCTGTGCTGGCCACACCTTCGTCCGGCCTGCCACCACCGCCGCCACCATAATCACAACCACAACCACAACCACCGACAGACCGACTAGGCAGAGGGGGGCGCTCGCCCGCTCGGTGTGGCATTACACGGGGGTCGGGGTCCCAGATACACGCTCCCGCACCGGAAGCGATACCGCATCGGGCGCAGCGTCATGTGAGAATCCCGCGCGCCGGCGTCCTCCGCCGTCGAGTCGCGTCCCCTGAGACGCTGGACGAGGGAGCCCGGCTTGCGTCCATGGTGCCACCAGAGGAAAAGGGCCAGATACGACAGGGCTAGAACGGGTGGACGGATGGATGGTTGGGGGCCACCAGTCACTTTCCTGCAAGCCTAACCAGCCACGGCCTGGCCACGCTGCCCTGCCGTGGATGAGGAGAAGACGGAGAAGCAGAAGCCAGGGTGAGCGAGCCGTGAGACAGCGGCAGCAGCAGCGGCAGCAGCAGCGAGCAAGAGAAGGCGGACGTGGATGACGATAGAAGTGCCTAATAATGAGCCAAGGTTGGACGGGGAGCGCCATGGGTGCCGAGCCTTATCTATTTACTTATCGACCCCGACTAATTAATTATTGCTCCTCCGCCCACGTACGGGGGGGGGTATAGGAACGGGACATGTCTTACTAGGACCGGCCGAGCTCGCGAGGCTCATGTGAACAGATCTGAAATGGGCCTGAGCCTGAGCATGAGCCTGAGCCTGAGCATGAGCCTGAGCCTGAGCATGAGCCTGAGCTTGTTAGTTGTTCTGGCTCAGCACAGCGTGCAGATAAAATGCAACCTAGACAGACCACTGACACACCCGTACCCTCATCGGAGACTCCGTTTGGTATCCTGAAGTATTGCGTTGAGCGAGTGCATCGCGGACGTTTGCTTTGCCTCATCTCCGGCCCCTCCCGTCGTCCACTTTTCATTGATGTATTGCATCTTCTGCTTACCTGCCTCTCTGTTTTGCCTGGTTTTCGACATCGAGGGCTGTTAACGGAAGCTTCTCGGGCACAAGAACAGAATGTTTCGTCCGTGGAAGTCAGTCGGTCACACGGTATGAGACCCGTGGGTCCATGGCGGAGATGGGGAAGGGGGGATGGATGCGTTTGTTTGTTTATCCGTTTTCTGTTAGTTTTACGAACGAGTTTTGTATTCGGGGGGGGAGGGACTTCTGTTGGCCTGATCGGCGGGCGGCCTTGACATCGGCTGCTTTCGGTCCAGAGCCCAGGAGAGACCGTCGGGGTCGAAAGCGTCGCTGGTGGTGGTGGTGATGGACATCACGGACGAGTATTGACTTTGGCCGGCGCGATGCCATTGCCCTTCCTCTCTCTGGCCTTCCTTTCCCAGGCCTCGCCCCAAGGATGACGACGACGAAGACGACGGCGACGACGACGATAATGATAGCCACTCTTATCCCATGACAAACTGCTCGTTCGTTGTCCGTTCTCCCCCTAGCCCTACCGAGAGTTCTGGTCCGGAAAAAAAGACAAAAAAAAGAAGGGAAAAAAAGAGAGAAAATGAGGCAGAAAAAAAAAAAGGCCACATACACACACACACACAATGAAAACTTACCGTCCGTCCGTCCGTCCAGGTGGCATCTGCATCCATCTGCATCTGCATCCGTCGCCAATTCTCGGTCAACTGCGATACCGGACTTGGATTGTAATGGTTGATGGATGGTCCAAGGGAGAGAGCGCAGACCTTGCTGGTTCCCAGGACAGGACAGGGCAGGGCAGGGCAGGGCAGGACAGGGCCCCAAGACAAGACTCACCATCATCATTATCACCATCCATCGTAATCAAGACGCCTGCCAACCGCCACCATCCACTCTCTCATCCTGCCCTTGTGACCCCGCGGGTCTCGATACAGACTTGGACGTATCACCCGTTGTCTCTCGCCGGCGGCCTCCCCTCTGGGATTCGAACGGAAGCGGCCTTTGCCGCCGACTATAATCCGGACCCCCTCCGGCAGATCCGAACAGACTCCCTTCGCCCAAACGCACCCGCTGCCTACCCGGGTCCGGTAAGCCCGCTCGTCCCTCTTCCACGTTGTGGCTTCTCGCCGCAGACAGGGAGGGCAGGCATTAGCCAGCCGGAGCACGGTGCAAAAGGCTACCCTCAAGGGAGGGGAAGGGAGGAGAGGGGGAAGGCGAGGGAGGGGGAGGGGGGAGGGGGAGGGGGGCGAACAGGCGAGAAAAGCAGCAGCAGCAGCCAACCAACCCACACCCAAGTGACTTCCAGAGCACAGCAGACTTGATGGATGTCTTGGCTTGTTTTTCTGCCTCCCTGCTGAACCGACAAGCAAGGGCCTGCGCATCTAACCCTCGCCCGGCGCAGTTGGCGTCGCATGGCCTGTCCCTCCAAAGAAACGGAGCCACGCATCTGCTGGGGCCGAGCCTGTTTACAAGTGGAACGTTGACGTGGGAGAGAGACAGAGAGAGAGAGAGAGAGAGAGAGAGAGAGAGAGAGAGAGAGAAGGAGAGAGAGACAGAGAGAGTGAGAGAAAGAGACCGCTGCGAACACTTTGGTCGACACACTTTGCACATGGGAGGGGACGGGTCATCGCACAAGGTAATTGTGGTCTACATTAATCGTCTGACCGTATTAGTAGACCGGCATCCGCATCCGCATCCGCATTAAAACAGACACCTTGCCAGCACCTGCATAGCTGCAACAACAATTAAACAAAAAGACGGCAGCCACAACGAACGAACGAACAGCAGCATCAATCAGCCTTGCTCTGCGTCATCAGACGGCGCCGGCCATTTCCTACCGCATCCGCCCTGCCTGCGATCGGCTGACGCTGCCTTCACCGTCCCGGACAGCATCCCTACAAAGCCAGCCCATGGCCCCCCGCCCCATGTCAGCAGCCCCGGGGTAGTAGTACGTTGCTCATCACTTTGCACGGATACCAAGTAGATACGCCGTGTACTGCCTTTGTTGAGCCTGGGTCTCGTTTGGCTGGCTTGCTGGCTGGCCCGCCGGTACCCGGGTCTCGTTCCCTATGATGAGAGGTATCTGTAGTAGTGTACGGTGACTGATGAGAGAGGTGGGCATGCAGCAGTATCAAGTCAAGTGCAAGTACAAATGCAAGCGCAACATCAAATACGCAGGCAGGTAAGTATGCCCGCCTTCTCTCTCCGATTCTGACTCTGAGTTAGGATCGGCCTGATCTGATATGGGGACAACTGGCCCCGGGGGTGCATGGCGCTGCAAATCTGGTCCGCGCTCGCGCTCATCTCTTACCTCTGAGTCTCCCTACCACTGACTCTGACTCTCTCTCACTCTCACTCTCACTCACTCTCACTCTCACTCTCTCTCACTCTCACTCTCTCACACACACACACACACACACATACTCTCTCTCTCTCTCTCTCTCATACTACCTGTACACTCCCCCCGTGCCGTGTGATGTCCTCTCCCAGGAAGGTAATTCGCCGTCTGGGTCCCCCCCCCCATGGCTCCCAGCCCCTCCCATTGGGTCACGTCTGCCGTCTTCCCAGATGGGGCGACGCATTGCCATGCTACAACGCCCTGCCCATGTTGCGGGCTCTGCTGCTGCTGTACTTGGCTTTACGGCACTTTGCTTCGCTGTCTTTTGGTCCCGGATGCTCCAGTCCGCCCCAGCCCACCCCACTCCAGTCCAATCCGTTCCTGGGCAAGCAAAGGCAAAGGCAAAGGAAGCAACTCCGGGCCCGGCCCAGCCCAGCCCACACGGTTACAGTACAGTACAATACAGTACAATACAGTACAGTACGTGCGATCAGTCATCTTTCTGCCCTGTAACGACCGGCGTGGCCATGGCCATGGCCAGTCGACATGGAACATGGTCATGGACTTTTTTTTTTTGTCCCTCTCTGCCTACCCCCTCCCGCAGGAGGGGGAGTGCCAGTGCCTGTGCCAATGCCAGTGCCAGTGCCAGTGGTAATAGTAGCAGTTAGTCTCACTCTGTCAGTCATTTCAGTCCAGCCGGAACGATGCAGCCAGTCCAGTCCACTTGCTGTACCTATTCGGTCTCGTCTTGCTTGGTGTGCATGCATGCCTTTACGGTTACCTCTCGGTCCTGCTCTCTGCACATGGACGCCGCATTCACCCCCCCCCCCCCCCCCCCCAGAAGTGTCAGTCTTGCTCCTCCTCCTGAGGCCCAGGTGAAGGTGAGGAAAGGCCGGTTTGAGGTGGGATTTTTATTTCGCTTTTTGGCTTTTAGCTCTCTCTCTCTCACTCTCTCTCCCTCCCTCTCCCTCTCTCTCAGACGCACACGCAATGTCAATCTTAGTCTCACTCTTACCCTCACTCTCACTCTCACTCACCTGGCTCGCGGTGCCTTTCCCGGCCTCGCCTTGTCGTCTTTTTCTCCCTCCGGGCCCCATCGACTGACTCTCTTCCCTTTCCTGCACCTCCACCGGGGCCAAACCGGACCTTACCCTGCCTGATAGATTGATTGATTGCCTACCTTGCAATACTTGACCCGGCCTTCCCTTGCCTCGCCTCACCTCACCTCAGATCACCTCGCTTGGCTCCAAAGCAGTGGTGCCTGGTTGGTGTCTGCTGGTGTTTGGTGTTCCCCAAGGTTCCTTCCTTTTGGCCTGCGACGAAATACAAAACCAAGACGACCTGCCCACCCCTCTTTCTTTTGCCGCTGCTCCCCCCGTCGTCTGTTCTTCTCCCCCCTTCCACCACCACTACCACCACCACCACCACCACCACCGCCGCCACTCTTCCAACTCATCGTCGTCTCACCGATACTCTTCTCCTCGACACCCATCGACGGCTGTTGAATCTTCTCCCGTCTGCTCAACTCGACTCGGCTCGGATCGACTCGACTCGCCTCCCCCTGCATCCCTTGCTCGGCAGTATCAGCCTCAACGACGTATGCGGCCTGAAAACATCCAGACACACCACCACCACCCCTCTTTCGGTCAGACAGTCTACGCCCATCCTCCTCACTTGACCTCATTATCCTCCTCGTCACACAACAATACTCGTCAACGCATGCCGCATGCCGCATGCCACATACATACCTAAATACCATATACGCACATATAAGGTATCCCGCGGCCTCGACCCCAACCTTGGACGACTCTCACGCACAATCCTCTTACACGCCCCCTTTCATCCCTACTATTCCACCACGCTGCGACAGCATAGCGAATAAGCGGAACACCGACACAGACCGCCCTTCGGCAGCTCAATACGACAAAAGTGCCCAGCCGTCGTTCGTGTGCATTCTGTGCAGCATTGAGAGCCCACCACTCTTCATCCAGCTCGCATCTTACCCGTTACGGCCAGCCGAGACGCCTGCATCCCACTCTTTTTGCGAAACCCCGACCAACTGCTGAATGCGGCATGATCCAGCGACCCAGCTCTGTGTCTTAGCAGCGCCCCCCTCCCCTCCTCGCTCCCCGACTCTTACGCCCTGAGTCTGCGTCACTGGTGCACCGAATCTGGCATTCAATCTTCTCGCCCTCTTTCCCTGCGACGACCCTCTGTGGACGACCAGACCTATGCCGCAGGTCCTCGATGGGCAAGCAAAACGACCAAGTCTTGAGAGCTTCCTCCTCGTATCTGATTACCGCCGACCGGTAAAAAGCAACGGCATCTGCACGAACCCCCTCCGGTCACGTCAGCTTCACCCACGCCCGCCCCTCACCTGGCCAGTCCACAAGAAAGCTGCCGACAGACAATCACCCTGGCCCTCCCCCTGCCCATCGTGACCACAGACGCATCTCGGCACACTGCTCACCTGTCCAACACCACTGCTCTTGCCGATCCCACGAATAAACACGCCGGGATAAAGAAGCAAGCAAGCAAGCAAGCAACGTCGTGTAAAGCTGCATGTATACAAGGGCATTCGGTCTATGAAACAGGACTGGATTCTGGGTGAAAGAGAGAAAGGCCGTGGCTATCCGTTGCAGGCAACTGCGACTTGACCCCGAAGTTGAGGTTCTGGATACAGCCCAGCAGTCTTTCTGCAACAATAGCAGCAGTAGTAGGTAGCCTTTATCGCCATGGACGAAACCATGGACTACTCATATCACCATCAGGAGCAGGTCCAAGGCCAGGCGCAGCTCCCATACTCGCAACAGCAATCCCGGTGCCCCTACCTCAACCGAAATGAGCATCATCAGCAACCCCCCAACGCACAGCAGCAACAACCGCAGCAGCAGCAGCAGCAGCAGCGCTCGACGATGCACTACGACCCTGTCCACGCTTCTGCAAACTACTGGCATCCCCAAGGACAACTACCTCCTTACCACTGGCAGCCTCACGTACTGGGTCACCGGCCGCAACTGGCGCCCCAACATCGATCTTCGAACTCGGCCTCGGAACCTCACTTCTACAATCATGGACCAGCCTCAAGCTTCGGCAACGCCCTGGGCGGCTATCCGGGTGCTCCCAACACCGAGATAGGAGGCCCCCAGGCCATGCATCCGTCCTTCTCCCACTCACAACTTCCTCCTCCCGTAAGGTACGGTCATTCAACGCCCCTGGCACCCAGTCAGCCGACCACGTCCCAGCCCTTGTTCGCCCCTGACAGGGCATTTGGACAGAGCACAACATCCCGCACCGGTGCTTTCAACGCGCCTCCACACTCTCTGAACACATCGACACCGTCCCTCGCACAAGACTCTTCAGAGCCGACCGCAGAGCCTCCACGCCCAAGCCAGACCACAACTACAGAGTCCACAGGCACTGCGAGCCAAGCGCCTCCTCCCAGTACCAGCATCCAGTTCGGATCTGCTCCGCCTTCGTCTGCACCCCAACAACATTCGCCCTTTCTCCTCTCACCGTACAGGGCCCATCGCTCTGCCCCTTCAGGTGAGATGAACGCAGTGGTATTCAGTAGCCTGTCATGTCATCATACTTACGCTCACGCAGGGCCCTCCTCCGCCTCCTCCTCCTCCACCACCACCACCACCACCACCACCACCACCACTACCACCCCAGCCAGCAACTTTTTGCCTCCGAACTTGCGTCGAGCCCCAGGGAATCCCCGTCGTACCATGTCGCGAAGGCAAAGCCCGCCATCCGATGGCGATATGGACTCGGAAAGAGACCTGAGGATGGTGGAGCAGGTCATCCACGCGAGTGGGAGCTCAGGTCGACTGGACGGCGACCACTATAACATGGACCCCGTCCGCGCAGCTCAGTTCTTGCGTGGCTCGGTCACCACAAAGTACGTGGCATCGTCATCGGCCATACAGTCTCTCCAGAGCGTGCCGATTTCGGATCTGCCCGAGGGCGAAAGGAGTAAGTCGGCGTAGTTCCCAATGCCTAATAAGGACTAACATTGCTGGCCAGCTTGCGTCATCTGCTATAACGAGTACGGTGTCGAGACACCAGAGGGCGTCAAAGAGGCCCCGTTGCGGCTGCCGAAGTGCAAGCACGTCTTTGGCGATCATTGCATCAAGAAGTGGCTCGAGGACTCGGACAGCTGCCCCTACTGCAGAGACAAGGTGCCCAACGAGCCCCGGATCTCGTCAACAAACCCCAACGTCAACAATATGCTCCGAGCCCGTGGCCAAGTGACCTTGGGGGGATACGCCGGGTTCATGAGAGAAAGGGATGCCGGTTTGTCTCATGATGACTCTTCCCGGTTGTCGGCAGCCGCCTCGGGCCATGGCGAGCGTCGTTCGCCTCCGACAGACGGTGGCGAGAGCCGGCGCAGGATTCGGCCCCGCCATGGCACCCTTCGCGGACCCGGCTCCCCGCCTTTCTCCGGCGGCTCGCGGCCGGGATCGTTCGGTGCTTCCGCCGCCAGCCACGAAAATAACCGGAGATCGCATGCAGCTGCCGCCGCGAACCGGGCGTACATGTCCAACACAAACACGCCAACCCGGACGAGCCACGGCTCTGCCGCTCAGGTCTCCTTCCCGGGAGGGAACCCGTCCCAGTACCAGGTCCCCAGCTTCGGCTCCATAGAGCCATCGTCGGCAACGCCGTCGATGCCGCCCTACATGCAGCATGGAATGCACCACGGCAGCTCTCACGGTGCGCACGGCACCGGTTTCCCGAATCCTCTGAACCGAAGCTCTCTGCCGGTGCCTCTCCCAAGTGCTTGGGTTTCCGGGCTTCCTCCTACGTCTGATGACTCGCAGCGGCGTGTCATGCCCGGCGAGGGCGGTGCTCAGCTTCAGGCTAGCAATCAGTGGGGGCAGCGTTAACAGCGGCCTCGGCGACGCGCGAAGGCTCGGGACCGATGATGCCACTTTTTCCGCCCTTGCGACGTTCACCCTTTTCCTTCTCATATGATAATTCAACGACTTGGTATAGTGGTTTTATGGCGGTTTTGGTTTGGCATTCAGGAATTCACAGATCCCCCACGGCGTTTTTTTCTCTTTTTTTCTCTCTTTCTAATTTTTTTGGAAGATTTCTTTTCTCTTCCTCCCCCCCCCACCCCGTCTTTTGGCAGTCACTGGCGTTTTGGAGTACGAGGACAGCAGCATCGCCAACCTCACATAAGGTGGTATGATTGAGAATTTCAACTCTTGACAAGGTCACAGCGTTTGGAGGGCGGAACATATTTTTTTCCGGTTTTTATTTCTTCTTTTGCAGTCAGACGACACAAGGTACCTGGCCTGTTTCCAGACGGTCATACATTTCCCCAGGGGAAGACCAGCAAGCGGATGTCGTGGGGCTCACGAGCCATAATTCCACGCGGACAAACTTGGCGGCCACGAGCACGGCGGGAAGCGGCATGTTATGCTAGTTCAGATAGTCAGTGGATGAATATATGGAAATATCCTACTCTAACTACGCACCAGCCTTTCACGGACGAGGCCAAACCTCTCGACGTGGGGGCTGCCACCCCGTCAGGACAGGTGAGTTGAACTGTGTGGTTTCAGGACCGTGACAGACTCGGGAGGGTTCAGGGGCAGGAAGAGCCCTTGAGCACTTGAGCTATGGACAGACGGATAGAGAGGGAGAGAGGGAGAGCGCTGGTCCATCGGTCAGGGGCGGTGGGGAAGGCAGAAGAAGCTAACGACGGCCAAGCCGTCCTCCGGATTTGGATGATGGCAGCAGACTGGCCACGCGGGGGTTCACGTCGGGTTGAGGAGGAGGAGGGGGAGGAGCAGGAGGATGCTTTGTCTTTTTGTGTCTGGAAACGGAGTAGCAACCGGTTCTTTCCATCTCCCTGGACATCTTGTCTCTGTCGTTTAGAGGGGGGATGCTCCGGGCTATTCTGAAGGTTGCGTGTCGGTCTGCCTCCCAGAGGGGGAAAAAGAGAAGGAAACCGACAGGGCGAACGTGGAAGGACGACGCGGGATGGTCAAACCGGATGTGTGTGTGTGTGTGTGTGTGTATTCGTCTACTCCCCGGCGATTCGGTTCGAAGCACTCTGTTTCTCTTTTCCCGTCATTCCTGGGGATTCGGGATTGTTTCTGTTATCCCCCCCCTCCCCCGCCGCCAAAATCCGGTGGTGCTCGACAACGCCGTCGACTGTTGTGTAAAGCGAATGCGAATGCTTGAGCCACATTGCTTGCTCCCCCGTTCTGGCGGGGAGGAGGGCTTACCCGCACTAGCGTCGTCGGGGTCGTGGCCGGAAGGAAGGATTCGAGCAAGGAAAGGGGGGCTGGAACGGCACCGATTGGTGGCCCAGAGGGGGGGGAGAGGGTACAGGCAGGCAGGCGCATGGGCTGTCTGTCTCGGGTTCTTTTTTTTTCTTTTTTCTTTTTTAATGCATATGTCGATCGATGTGCGTGCAGTGTGGTGATGTCGGCTTCTTCTTCTTCTTCTCCTTCTTTTTGCTACTTTTACTTTTCTCTTCTTTTTGCTACTTTTACTTTTCTCTTCTTTTTGCCCGTATCTTGTCCTTCCCTCCCAGTTGGGGGAAAGGCGTGGCGTTTGGATGTTTTTATTCCATTTCATTCTGTTTGGAATACATCCTGTTTTATGCTTTTCTTCTTGGGACGAAGAAGACGAATGAACTCGGGCAATACAACGGAACAAGCAAGCTTTGTCCGGAACCGTGTTCATTTTTAGCATCATGGGATGGGAGTGTGGGAGACGGGGCGAAGCAGGTGGCGAGAGAGAGAGAGAGAGAGAGAGAGAGAGAGAGAGAGAGAGAGAGAGAGAGAGAGAGAGAGAGAGAGAGAGAGAGAGAGAGAGAGAGAGCGCACGACGCTCACTCCCACGCAAAGGCGGAATAGTGTACGAAGGCTGTCGGAAAAAACTGCGTGTGCTCTGCGGTCGAGGATGGCTGTGACTTTGTTTGGGGTCGGGTGCCTGTGTGTTTGTTTCTCAGTGTGTTTCCGACATTCCGTCATGTTTGCCCCCTTCTCCTTTCCGTTCTTCTCCTCCAAGTTGCTTCAGCCAGCCGTCCGTCCGTCCGTCCGTCCGTCCTACGTAGGATAGATAAAATGTGCACCCCTTTCTCGCGGGATCCTTCCCAAAACGCTGATAACCCGCGGGTTGGATGGACCCTTGCCCCAAACATCACGTTTGAAGGCCCGACGCCGTTGGATGAAGTATTTGGATTGCTCCATCTCGCCGGGACGAATGCGTGGATGATACCCAATGCAAAAAAAGTCCGGACGGGCTCGGTCGGCTCAGCCCATGCATCGATAAGAGATGTAATACCTACCTACCTGTGTGTCGTAGGGGACTCGGAAAGGTTGATCTCGAAGCAAGGAAAGGGAGCACAGTCCACGCGGTTGAAACAAGGGTAGTAGGCCTCGCGGCTTTGGGTTTGGGGGGGGAGAGGGGGGAGGAGGCGTGCCCTTGGCTTTGTTGGCATCTTGACCATCGTCGAACCGAACCCAATCGATAGGGGTCGCTCTGAACGAAAGAGGAGAGAATCGGACCAACCTCCCGCCGGGCTAACATGTTGTCCGCTCGGCTGGGACTAGCAGGTGGGATCCCGATGGACCCCAAAACCCCCCCCCCGTCCTGGGCCTAGTCAGGCGAGACGGCGGGATGTGCGCATCAGCGAAAACCCGGCGGGGCAGGCTAGTACAAAGCGGGAATGCGATTCGATCCTCAGCCTCCTCCTCCTCCTCCATCCCCGCTCCGTTCCCGTCCCATGGGATACCAATCCCGTCTTGCCATGATTTTGCCCCGGCGCTAATCATCTACCGACGCGCCTCTGCTGCTGCTGCTGCTGCCTCCGTGAACGGGTTTTTCGAAGGGGTATGAACCCCGGTACGCGCGTCGACGATGACTAGCTTGTTTACTATATAGGAAACCCCCCATTGAGATTCTGTTTCGCAATCGAGACAGGGGAAACCAGTTTCTAAGCAGCCCACTACACACACACACACACACACACACACTCACCGACACCTGGAAAACGACGATACGCAGTACCCTGGAACCGGGCCATCGGCACACGGTTCTTGTCCTCTCTGCCTCTGCCTCTCCTTCGCTACGGGGCACATCCCTGTCGCGCGCGTGTCGAAGCGACCTCCACCAACCTGCAGGAAAGCCAAGAATCGTCCGAGGGGACCAACGGCAGACGAGCACATTGTCATCGTCACCACGAACCAGCCAGCTCCTTCCCGGCACTCTCCCAACCTTCGTCGACGTAGTCCCTCGAACGGCCTCGGGAGACGCGTGCGTCTTGTCGTTACCGGAAAGAAAAAAAAAAAAAAAAAAAAGAGGCGATACAAACACATGCTGCACCAGTCGTCGTCGTCGTCGTCGTCGTCGAAGAAAATCAGCACCCACTCAACGATATTCCTACTCTAGGCAGTTCCTATCACGTTCCGTCTCGTCCCATCTCCGTCTCCATCGTCTCGAATTCTGTCCGACGTCCACCACCCACAGACCCCTGTGTTCCGTCCACAGAAATACTCACAGCAGAGGGTAGAGAAAGGACAGAATACCTGAGCCGGGGCTGTAGTGCGTGCGCAAAGCGCAGCAGTGGTAGCAGCAGCAGCAGCAGCAACAACAACAGCAGCAGCAGCAGCACGTCGACAGCTAGTGCATGTGCTGGCGACACTTCCGTTCCGTGTTTGCGACCCTGTACGCATGAAACCGAATCAACCCGGCACTACCAAGCCCGCCGCCGCCCGCACGTGTTCCCCCCCCCCCCCCCCCCCCTAATCCCAATTGAAGCTTAAACTTCCTCTCCATTGAGCTCTGCTTTGTCCTTCCTTTACATAACCTGACCCTTACCTTGAGCTCAAAGACATTTATCTGGTCTTTTTTTTTTTTTTTTCCTCTTCTTCTTCTTCTTGTTTCCTTCGCTGGGTTTAGTGTCTACATCGCTGCTCGCTGGGTTTCTCGTTCTCCCCGCGGAAAAGCATTAATTACGACCAACACCCTCCCAAAAGAAGAACGCATCGCCACCAACCCACCCCACGCGACCATTGCCTTCGCCGTTGACGCCACCCGAAAGATACGACTCCGGCCGACCCATAGCAGACTTGGCCTTTTCTTATATCATCGCGCCCATCACTCTCTTGTTGGCGCCCACTCCGGAAGAGTCGTCCGTCGTTCCCTCGAGGAAAGGAAATCCCACACAGGCACAGCACCGCCGGACGAGAGCCCAACTAACACCCCGCTCCATCATGGCCGGTCCCCCGTGGCGAGCATTCCTCATCGGCTCGGCGGCCGTCACCGTCTTGGTGGCACTGCGCCAGCCCGTCTTCTCGAGATGCAACCTCCTCTGCACCTTCGTCGGCCTCTTCGCCTTTCAAATCTTCTCGTGGACCGTCTTCGTCGTCCTCTTGTTCCCCCAGTACTTCTCTAGCCTCCGCTCGCTCCCGGGGCCCAAGGACGACCACTGGTTGATGGGGCAGGGCCTGAGGATCATACGCGAGCCGACCGGCGTGCCCATGATTGACTGGTGAGTTCTCCAACGACCCCCCCCCTGATTTGAGTTGGTTGGCTGGCAGCGCCGGCCGCCTTGGCCCTTGCCTCGGTGATCGAATCCGCCAGCCGTTGCGCGTGTGCGGTCGTGACGACGGACTGAAACACTCACTAAACGTGTGCGCCGCAGGGTCAACAACATTCCCCACGAGGGCGTCATCCGCTACCGCGGTCTGTTCAACCAGGAGCGCCTCCTGATCACGTCGCCCAAGGCCCTCGCCGAGGTGCTCGTCACGCGCAACTACGACTTCCGCAAGCCCGGCGCCGTCCGGTCCTCCATCGGCCGCATCCTCGGCATCGGCGTGCTGCTGGCCGAGGGCGACGAGCACAAGGTCCAGCGCAAGAACCTCATGCCCGCCTTCGCGTTCCGCCACGTCAAGGACCTGTACCCCCTCTTCTGGAGCAAGGCCTGCGAGGGCGTCGAGGCCATCACCGAGGCCGTCCACGCCGAGGCCGCCAACGGCCCGCCCGAGGGGCTCTCCGACCCCGAAAAGGCCGCCCTGGGCCCCGACACCGCCGTCCTGGAGATCGGCAGCTGGGCCTCGCGCACCACGCTCGACATCATCGGCATGGCCGGCATGGGCCGCGACTTCGGCGCCATCCGCGACCCGTCCAACCCCCTGGCCCAGACGTACAAGCAGGTGTTCAAGCCGAGCCGCCAGGCCCGGCTGCTCACCCTGCTGGGCATGCTCCTCCCCGGCCCCCTCGTCCACCACCTGCCCTTCCAGCGCAACGGCGACATCGCCAAGGCCGCCGGCACCATCCGCACCACCTGCCGCGAGCTCATCCGCGAGAAGCAGGAGAAGCGGAACCGCAAGGAGCTCACCGACGTCGACATCCTCTCCGTCGCCCTCGAGTCGGGCTACTTCACCGAGGAGAACCTCGTCGACCAGATGATGACCTTCCTCGCCGCCGGCCACGAGACCACGGCCGCCGCCATGATGTGGGCCGTCTACTGCCTCTGCCTGCACCCGGACGTCCAGGCCAGGCTCCGCCGCGAGGTCCGCGAGCGCCTCCCCGCCCCCGGCACCCCCGGCGACATCACCGCCCTCGACATCGACCACATGCCCTACCTCAACGCCGTCTGCAACGAGGTCCTCCGCTACTACTCCCCGGTGCCCATGACCCTGCGCGAGGCCGTCGTCGACACCGTCATCGACGGCCACAAGGTGCCCAAGGGCACCCGCATCATGCTCTGCCCGTGGGCGATCAACAAGGACACCTCCCTGTGGGGAAGCGACGCCGGCCGCTTCGACCCGGAGCGCTGGCTGGTTCCCGGCGGCGGCGGCGACAACAACAACGACGACGAGACGAACGCCGCCGAGAGGAAGCGCTCGGCCGCCAGCGGCGGCGCCACGAGCAACTACGCCTTCATGACGTTCCTGCACGGCCCGCGCAGCTGCATCGGCCAGGGCTTCGCAAAGGCCGAGTTCGCCTGCATCCTGGCCTCCTGGATCGGCCGCTTCGAGTTCAGCCTGCGCCACAAGGAGGAGTACGACGAGAAGAACCTGGCCATCAAGGGCGGCGTCACGGCCCGCCCGTCAAAGGGGCTGGACGTGTACGTCAAAGTCGTCGACGGGTGGTGATGATGCGCGTGCTGGATGGGGGGTTGGGAAACGACTGTACGGTATGTAATTAATGACTGTGTGAGCGTGGACCGGCTGGGCTGGGTTTTCCCCGGTGTTGGAAGCACTGGGTACATGCATGACTACGCGAAATACAAGAAAACAAAAGACGTAAAAAAAAAATCACAATAGCATCGAATCCATACCGACGCGGGACCGATGGACGGCCTGTCTGGAAGATCCTGAATGAGCCCTTCCCTGGCGGGCGGTCCTACCCTACCTCGTCTTACTCACCCCCAACCAAGGCTGATGGATCATGCAAATCGCCAGAGGCGGTGGGTGTGTGTCTGTTGAATGTATCCGTAGCCGCCTTAGATCCCCCAGAGGCGATCTAGCCCAGTTTACCCAGTACGTGAATATCGCAACACGTATAACCCGACACGCAGTCCTCTGTCCTGTGCCACGTCTGAGGCGGTGGGTATAAATGGTGATTGTACAAGGAATAAAAGAGTCTATATGCACGCTGTTGGGCTTGAACTATATTCTCTTGCCCTGCCTTAACAGATCGCCCACTTTGGGCGGCAGCACCAACGCGCTTCTGTCGTTCCGTCTGTAAAAGTCCACCACGGCCAGCGCCGTCTTCTCTGGCAGGTCTTCCTGGATGAAGTGACCCGCCTCGGGGAAGACCTGCAATGCGTACTTGCCTGGTTTGAATTGTCAGTCGACCCTCTCTCATCACACGACAAGAGGTTGCGATCAACTCACCCTGCATCTGACCGATGGTCAGCTCCGTATCCAGCCTGTCCGTGCCCGCCAGCAGCAACAGCTTCCCACCCTTCGCCTCGAGAAACTTCTTGCTCAACCCGACGAACCAGCCTTCCCAGAACGGCTGCGTCGCCGAGAGATCCGTCCTCCACCTCCACGGCCGCGTAGGGTCGACCGAGTCGTTGTAGACCAGGAGGGCCGGCACCGATGTCCGCGCCGAGACGGAGTTTCGAATGGTGCGGGAGCGGATGTGCCAGTCGATGCCCGACTGTAGGCTGGCGAAGCCGGTGGGCCGGGTCGACAGGTAAGTCAGCATGCTTTGCAAGGCATCCATCGCCGAGCCCTCCACCACGTCCAGCACGCCGTAGCCCAGGAGTGAGGCTCCCAGCCTCCCCGACTTGGCCAAGTCGGTAACGACAGCACCGCCCAGCGAGTGACCGACGAGTACGATGGGGGGGAGTTCCGACCAGGACATCTGCGCCTTGGTGAGCTGGATGACGCTAAGCAGGTCTTCCGTCAGGACGTCGAGCTTCAGGTTGAGCTCTGTGTCGTCCATGACTACCGTCGAGCCGTGGCCCCGGGCGTCGGGAGACAGTATTCCGGCCGAGGGAAGACGCTTCCTGATTTCCGCTGAGAGGACGGCAAACGACAGACCCGACGAGCCGGCACCATGATGCATGACGAAGAGGGGGCCCTTGCCAACAGGTGAGTTGAGGTAGGCGTGGTAGGTCACGGTGGACGAGCCATCGTCTCCGGTTGTGGGCTCCAAGAACAGCTCCCGCTCGAAGTAAGTAGTCCAGGGGATCTGCTCCAGTGTGCGGCCCCGCGATACACTAAAAGCGAATCAGCGTTCTGCCGGATCGCCCTTTTTTTTTTTCTCTCTTTTTCTTTTTCTCTCTCCTCCGTGCAGAACTGGAGGAGAGGGGGACGAAAACCCAATGCATCTTACCCTTGTGGCCGAGCGAACAGCTTTTGGCTCGGAGACGGGATGATGGTGCCCGTGGACGAGGCGGAGGAGGCCGATGAGGCCGAGGACGAATCCCCGTCGTCCATGTGCTCCGGCAGTTCGGGGAGTTGGTCTACCTCGGGTTCCTCGTCGAGATCGTTGAGCGGCTCAGGCAAGGGATGCATGGGGTCAAGCTTCCGCTTGGCCCAGGCCCGTTGCAACTCACTCATTTTTGTACTGTTATTTTCTAATGCAAAGCGTCGGAAGACGGCGTTTCTCCCTCAATGGCCTTGGAACGAAACGCGGAGGAACTGGTTGTGCGCCGCACGTTCTCGCCGGCCCGCTAGAACACCAAGCCTCGCGGGCAGATATGATCAGGGCCGGGTAAAGAAGCGGACACGAACGACTCCAACCATACGGGAGAAGAGGAGAGGAGAGAGCGGCGAGGTTGGGGATACCGGCTGGAAAAGGATGGTGACTTGACTCGGTGGTGGGTGTGATGTGAGACCAAGTTTTGAGATGCCGTTGTGTGGATGACGTTCAGTGGGGTGATGAGGGGCAGTGGGATTGTTGGCACTGTACACCCACGCTTTAACCCGGCACTTGACACAGTGCCAAATTCGCACCGCACCCAGCTTCCGCTCTACTTCGCTGCGATCAGACCCCCCAAAGAACTTCGCTGGAAAGGGAAGGAAGCCCCGTTATCCCCTTTCTTCCTCACAATTACAAGACGACATCTGGAGCCCAGCATTTGAACAGACTTTACCGCAGCTTCGTCGACAACCTGCCCGCAGTCGACACCGGCAATGTTTTACCTCATGCCTTTTGGGATAAGACGTATGTGGTGTACCGAGTGCGGTCGCAGGGCAGAGAGTTCTTTGGCGGAACCCAAGCAAACACCCCATGAGAAAGCTCGACTGCGTACGGTTGCTGATTGCGGATAGCAGTAGCAGGTTGAGTGGTTTCCCCCCCCTGCTCTGAACAATGAGGCGAGGGAGTAACTCGACGCCGGGTAGTTGGCCTTCGAGCTTGATCCGGGGGGGGAGTTGCCTTGTCCGGCACGTCGCACCGGGGCGACGGAGGCGGCTTGGAATCAGATCCGGAACGAGCAACCACCCAAGAGGAAGACGCTACATGCAATCTTCGCGGGGCCGCGGGCTACCTACAAGGCTGTTGCACGTTTTGGAGAGACAGCACTTGAGATACGTACCCAAGGCGGCCCCCTCCTAGAGTCGCACAGGTACACAAAAAAACAAATACGTATGTCGATGGAGTGTGCTTGTCGAGCAAGGTCGAGAAGTGGGGGGGGGGGGGGGGGGGGGGGTGGAGGAGAGTACCTATACGTCGCACGAGATCCACGCCATGTAAGAAACGCAACGCGATGCCAATTGGTTCCGGATCAGCGTGCATCCGATAAAGCGCAAGGCCACTACTACGTTTACGGACCACCAAGCAGATTATGCAAGGCCTGGCCAAGTCGGCTGTGCGGGTCACTGCTTCCTCGACAGTTAAAGAACCTAAAATAATGTTAAAACTGGAATTTGAGAAGGGGAGAAAAGACTAAATAAATAAAAGCATGGCATCTGCCCCATGCCCCTGCCCGTTCAGGCACGGCGCGCCGGCCGGGTTGGGAGAAAGATCAGCGCAGCTGTAATGAATTGACGGGTTGGACATGGGGGGTTCAAGGGGTGTATCAAGGGAAGGGTACATTAGGCAATTGGCTCAGAGAGGATAGATAGGGTCAGGCCAGGCCAAGCGGACGAGTGCAGCCAATCACAAAAATAAAATGTAGAGATTATCAAGGATGAAGGCGCGCGTCTGGCTAATCTCGTCGACTCGGTCGAGAGAGCACAACTCGAAAACAGGACCCTGGCGAGCACGAAAGCACAGGTAAAGCACACTGAGTCGGGTCGAAGGGGCATATCGGCGGCCTAGCCCTCCGATACGACGACCTGGCTCCACAACCCTCGACGAAAGTCGGCTTAGACTTTCTAGCCACAGGTACCGCGGGCCGGGCAGGGGAGCTTGGGCCAATGGGCCAGGTCTAGACCTTGATGGGGAGAGTGAGAGTGTGAGAGAGAAACGACGGTGCCCTGCGAACGGTATCTGCGCCGCCCTCAGTCATCGTCATCTTCATCACCGGGCCGTTGATTCATATTAATTTTTTGCGTTCCAATTTTAGGTATATAGTATTCCAGGTCCATTCCGCTGCTATGCGCCTCCCCCCCTTGAACCCAGAAACAAAGCAAAAAGAAAGAGAAAAAAAAAGCCTTGCGGTCGTACGTTTACATATCCTCAGGATATACAGTATGTGGTATGTCTATGTAAACAACTACAATGGCTCTTCTTCCCCCCCCCTCCTACCACCAAAGAATGGAAAACGTGTTTTCAGTAACAGAGAGAGAGGAAAGTCAGATCAAAGCAGCCGTTGATATCATGACCGTATTTTGCAAGAGGTATAATGTTGTTGCTGATGACAGGGAAACTGAAGAGACGCAAGGAAAAAAAACCCGAGGTTTCTGCTCGATATAGAATAAGATGTAAGGAAAGGATAAATAGGAGGATATAAAGTGGCTTCTTTCCGAATCTCTGCGAAAGCTAAGAGAGATCCACAATGTCATACATTTCCCACACTTCTATGTTCATTGTCATTCAGGGGCCACGCCTGCCCACCACGTCGCGTCGCGTCGTGCCGCGGCTCAAAGCGCCGAGGACAGGCGTCCCCCTCCCGTGCTTTTTTTTGTTGTTGTTGTTGTAGTTGATGTTGTAATTGTTGCATCAGTACGCACCCCGGTAGCCGGAACCGCCATATCCACCCGCATTGTAGTCGCCACCCACGTTGGGCAATGTCGGCTTCCTGTCGGCGATGGGTGCGGCGCCGAGGACGAGGTTCTCTTGACTCGAGTTGGCGTGGTTGTATGGCGCGTTGGGCGTTAGGGGACGGTAGGGTGCGTTGGGACCGGCGCCCAGATAGTAATCCGGAGACTCTGAGCGGTTGTCCTTCTTCTCGGGGACGCTGGACATGGAAAAGGTGGTGCCGTGCTCGGGGTCCTTGCGGTCCATGAGGAGGGAGTTGCGGGCGTCCAGGGGAGTGAGGGTGTCCATGTCGCGCTGCATCTTCTCTGGATTGGGGGTCAGTTGATATGCCTTTAGATGTGAGATATGGTACGAGAGCAAACTTACCCATCTCCTTTCTGCGCTTGCGGTGAGGGTTCTCCTTGCAGCAGGCGATAATGGCGTTCCAACAGATCAGGATGGCGAGAAGACCCGTCAGTGCGGACTGAACGGCAATCAAGACGACACCAGTGAC